ATTTACACAAGGAGGATGGGGTTATTTATAGCCAAGGTTCCCCATCCATTTCTCTCTAAAATTTTCCCTCCAAAGGATTTCCCTCCAAAAGATTTCCCTCCAAAACCATTGGAAGGGAACTAAGGTTCTAGAAGCTCATTTGGCGAGGAAATCCCTACATGGGTCTTGGTGGGCTGGCACCCTCTTGGGCCTCTTTGCGGATCTGGGCTGTGGCCCGTGACATTTACACTTTGGTCTATGTTTTTGTCCCTTTACAATTGAAGCTTTAGTCAAAAGTTTAAAAAAATTAAATTTAATATTACATATATATTTTAGGATATAAATACTTCTTAGGTTATTTTTTAACTTAAATATATTCTCTTTTTTTTTAAAAAAAGAAAATTTGCTTATCTCTCTCAAAAAAACCTTAATCAGGAAAAAAAAAATTTTTAAAAATTGATTTGAAAGTCTGAAAATTTGAAACTGTATCTACTTTGAAATTTGATTTGAAAGTATAAAAATTTGTAACTATATTTACCTTGAAACTGGTAAACTGAGGTTTTTTTTTAATTAAAAAGAATGTGTTATTTTTTTATTGAAAATAATGTATTGAAAGTAAATTTGTTTAATAATGGATACTTTAAATTTGATAGTGTCAAGTTAAGAAATTATTTTTTTACTCATGATTATTAATTTTGTCGAAAAATTTAGTTTGGGGTGATGTAACAAGATTTTGATCTGATTATTATATATAAGTCTGTTTAGCTTGGCTTTTTTTTAGACTAAAAGTCATTATGAAATTCTTATGAAAAATAATAATTTTTAAAATTAAGATAAAATTATTTGATAAATTTACTTTTATAAGCTCTTTTTATAGATAAATTATTTGGTAAAAAAATTTATATGAATTCTGATTTTGGTTAAAATTATCATAAAGGGTCTTTAATAAATAATTTTGTATTAATTACCAATTTTTTTGGTCACAATGGAAAAAAATTAACTTTATTTTTATCTATTTAGAACAAATTTTTAGAAATATAAAAAAAATTGTATATAACATAAAGTTTTTAATTAATAACAAATCATAAAAAATAATTTCACAAATAATTTATAAGTAACATATAATTCATAAATAACTTATAAATCAATATTTTTATTTTTCATCAATGCAATAGGTTTTCTATTACTAGGGTTTTTGTTCGTGTTTTTTTTTTTTAAAGTAGTTTTTGTAAAGAGAGGTAAAGGAGAGCGAGATTGCGATTTGGGTTGGAGAGGGATGACTTGCAAAGAGAGAGAACTAAAGCTCTATTTTTAGATTTTGTTTTTTTAAAAAAGTAATTTTTTTAAAAACTTCTCAAAAATTTATTTGGCTTGACTTCTATTTTACGAAATAGATAAATTGTAAAAAAAACCCATCCAAACCGATACTATATATCAAAAGTTTTAAGTTTTTTACTTCTTTATCAAATATTGAATTTTATTAAGTATTAGAGTGATATAAATTACCACAACCACAAATCTTGTTTTAGAATTTTGTTAAGTTTTAAGTTGCTTTCTTTGCTGTCAAATATTGAAGTTTATTATGGATCAAATTAAATTTTATTAAATTTTGGAAAGAAAGATTTTTTGTAAAAAGGTGTTTGTAATGAAGGCTATCTTAATTATTGATTCTAATTTACCATGATTACCATTTCAATTGATATGATTTGATTGACTTGGTTATTCTAATTGATTTGATTGTAATTTTTCTTAATTATAGGCTTGATCTAGGGAATTCTCTTTTATTGCATAGATTATTTTTCCTTTTGTATTGACAATGAAACCTGTATATAAACCCCTAGTGGTTTCTCAATAAAATAATCTCAAAGAGTATTCAAACTCTTTAGTAATGTCCCAAAACATATATGTAATATTAAGTCTAATTTTTTTAATGATTGATTAATAACGTTAACAGTTAAAGAACTAAAAATATCCTTTTAAAATACAAAGAATCAAAATATCCTTTTTAAAGTATTTTGAAAGGTTTTTTGAATTTTACCCATATTTTCCGTATATGTTGATGGCTCATCATATAGAGATGGTTGTTGGTTAATGGGATTATTGTAAATTTATCAGTAAAGGAAAACAAAATTCAATAGAACAGTTACACTACTTCTTGAAAAAAGGGTATATCCATTCTTGTGACAAATCTAATCAATGAAAAAAGGGTCACATGATATTGTATCGGCTGCATGGCTTATCCTGCTTCGTGGATGGAATACTATATTTTGTGAATTTATGCAAATTATATATATGGCAATTGTTTGGAACTAGACGTGGAATACTTGCTAATTTTGGTATGGCCTTTCCAGAAAGAAGCAAGTACATGTGCTCTTGCCACGGGACCATACTTTCTTGTCTAGCACTTTCATATGTGACAATAGAAATATATGACTTGATACATCAAATTGATTGAGCAAGTTATATTCCTAGTAAAGTGGCTGAAAAGTTTGATGTATTTTCATAATTTTGAGAGTAAAGAAGACGACTACCAAAATAGTGAAAAGATAAATGAAACGGCAAATACCTTGATAATATCGCTAAACGTGACATTCTTTAAGCCAAGAATGAAATATTTGCACATGGTGAGGTGTTGGTTTCTTGTAAATTTCCAAGAAATAAAAAAATAATAATGTAATAAAATTTACGTATAATAGTATTATGATGTTATTTGGTATCTTACAATTTAATTTGATTGTAAATAGTGTGATTGTAGTGTTTGGCGTAAAAGTAAAGTAATAATTAAAATGTAAAAAAGATAATAATTTATATCTATTTTATTAAGAACATAATAATAATTTTTAAAATTACTCTTATTTATCAAAATAAATTTAATATACTTGTATTTTTTCTTATTAATTTTTATCTAATATTATCTTTTAAATATATTTTTAATGTCATATATTTTATTTTTATTTTTTAATATAATTTTTTATATTATATATTTTATTTTTAATTTATTTTTTCTTTAAAAGATAATATAAATTTTATTGATTATCCAATAAAGAATGACTATTGAGAGTAATAAAGAGATATCCCTCAAAATCTATATAAAAAAATAAATTATAACATTATAAAATATCTTTAACAAAGTAACAAAATTGATAGGTAAAAATATCTTTAATAATATTGTAAAGTGAAATGTAATTCGATTACGTTAATTTTAGACTGCATTTACATTATATACATTAACTGTGATGTAATTGTATTGCAATCTTAATAGTTTGTTACAAAATAAAACACTGCAATGTAGTATAATTAAACATGTTTTAAGAAATATGCTATCACTTTTTTAGTACGAAATGCTATCTATGTGTAAATTAGATCATTAAGCCTAGTATAATCTATTGATGGAAAGACATTGAAAACGTCCTTACATACCTTCAAAGGACTAAAAGTGCTTGGTTTATTTATTTAAATTATCCAATTGTACTAGAAATAATGTTATAAGTGAGGAAATAGAATGGTTGAGAATCTAGTATGGATATAAAAGTATGGCCACACCACAATAAATGTCAATTATTTTCTTCATTTGTAAATGTAAAGTATTCAGTGGCATGCATAATGGAAAGTTTGGACATGTTAACCTTTATTATTAAACACCAACAATTGGAACCTAATTTTTAATTAGTAATTTCTAATTATAAAATTTAATGGGTAAGAATAAGTTATTATTATGTGGCTGTTAAAGACTAGTAAAACCCGTTCAATATTTTCAAAAATATGGTCTATCACTTTTATAATATTTATTGGTGCAAAAGATTAAGGATTAATCACTAACATTCCGAACTAGTAACAGATAATTGGTAATTTAAAAAATTGGTGAGTTTGATTAATTCACATTAGGAAAGAAGAATTTTTTTTTGAAGTAATATTGGTGGATTAAGTATTTAAAATCGATGATAACGATTTTGTTTAGCTTGACTTAAAATATTTTTTGAAAAACGTTTTTAAGATTTATATTTATTTGGAAGACGAAAAATTTATTATAAATGTAAAACATTTTACTAAAAAATACTCATTAACCATGTAAAATGTTTTGTGCTTTTGAGAGGTGTAAGATATTTTCTAGAAAATAGAAAAAATGCTTCTACTAAACCTAGTAGTATGGGGTTGATAAATATTAATATTTAATTTAAATTTTTAAAAATTAAAAAATATTAATATTTTACTTTAAAAAAATTTAACTTAAAATATTAATATTTAAATTATTCAATACTATTAAAATAAAAAAATATTTTGAATAAAATCATTCAATGTAATTAATATATTTATTTATAAATTAAATAAATCTTTCTAATAATTGTAACAAAAAATATTTTAATTATCGTCTTTTGATAAATACATATTTATAAATATAAGTATTTTTATGCTGTATACAATTGATTAATGATGATATTTTCATAATGTTATAGTAAAAAATGATGAGATGGAAATTATTTTAGATTTTATAAATTAAATTAATTAAATCGTGAAAGTAATATTTGTTATTAAGTGAAAATTAGTATTTATTCGTTGAAAAAAAATTATAAATTATCTTATGGGAAGAATATAAAATCAGTTTATTATTTCTGTTTGGAAAGTTGTAAGATTTATTATATCCTAAAAGCGTAATAATTTTTAAAAAGGGGTGTTCTTTCACACTTCAAAGTCAAGCTTCTTCTTTCTTCTTGTGCCTTCATTCCCAATTTTCAAACAGTTAATTGATTTCAATAAGTTCATTAACTGCTAAGTAATCTTGCTTCGATGGTAGAGCAGAGGCAAATGGAACCTGGTTTGAGTTGCACATGTACATATTTTCACAGCACAACATTGAACATGGCGGAGAAGAGAACTGTCACCAACACAAATGCATGCATGACTAGTTCATGATGATGCTGACGTGTCGTCCACCCTTTTTTTTTCCTTTTTTTTTTCTCTCTCTCACATCCCAACGAGATTACTTCTCTCTTTCTTTCTCTCTCCCCTCTGTCTCTTCTCTTTCAACTCTCCGTCCTCTCCCAGTACCTAGGGTTTCTTTGTTTGCCCACTGCCTAAATCCTTAAACCTTCACCTGTCTCTCCACAATTCTTCCTTTTCTCTGAACCATAACAAAGAAAATACCCTCGGATATCCCATCTTACTACTCAGAAAGATCACATTTCATTCACATTTGACCCTCATTTTTTTTTAAATAAAACGAAAACCCTTTCATGGCCAAGACCAAACCTGGGAAAAAGGACCTTGATTCCTACACTATCAAAGGCACCAACAAAGTTGTTCGACGTATGTTTCTCCCAAAACTCATCTCAAAATTTCTCTTTTTTCATTGGAAAAAAGGCCCGATCTTTTTTTCCTAATCCAAAATTTGAATTCTCCGTTTATTTAGCTTTGGGTCTTAAAATCTAAAACCCAGAAACATTTTTGGCGGGGAAAGTTTTGACTTTTTTTTCTCTTGTTTGGTTTGCAGCTGGTGATTGTGTGTTGATGAGACCATCAGACTCAGATAAGCCACCATACGTGGCACGCGTAGAGAAGATCGAGGCCGATCATCGGAACAATGTGAAGGTTCGAGTTAGATGGTACTATCGGCCGGAAGAGTCAATTGGAGGGAGGAGACAATTTCATGGAGCTAAGGAGCTCTTTTTATCAGACCATTATGATGTTCAAAGTGCCCACACGATTGAAGGAAAGTGTATAGTTCACACTTTCAAAAACTATACTAAGCTTGAAAATGTTGGTGCTGAAGATTACTTTTGTAGGTTCGAATATAAGGCTGCCACTGGTGGCTTCACCCCAGACCGTGTGGCAGTGTGAGTTTTTGATTTCTCTTGTGTTTTTCGATTGAGTTTCGGTAGTTTTTCCTATGTTTTATGTGTAATTGGTTATTGATTAATGTGTTTTTTTTTTTTAATTCTCGTTGGGTTCTGTTTTGAAGGTATTGTAAGTGTGAGATGCCATACAACCCGGATGACCTCATGGTGCAATGTGAGGGATGCAAGGATTGGTAAACTTGTTATACATTTTTTGTTTTCCTTATGTAATTAAAGTGGACTGTAAAATTTCCTTTTCTGTATGTATGTAGAACTGTAGATTGAATTTATTTATCTAGTGTCTTGTAAAGATTTGTGGGCTGAAAGAGTTTCAAATTAATGTTGTATTTAACTTTGCTCCAGGTTAATGGTTACATATTTACAATTATGATGTTTTTCACATTTAATTTTTAAGTGTTTCTATGTTGTTTAACTTGACTGCTTGTACATCTTATATATAATACATTAATCCTATTAGGTTGTTATCATTAAAAAGTTTCTTGTTTCTTTAGTATTATTTTTTAATAATTCATAGCTCTTGAAGGAAAAGGATAGCATATGTTATGTTTTGTTCGATAGCAAATGCTTTTAATTCTGTGTTAGTATTCATGAAACATACGATGATGAATGCATTGCTATTTAATTCTATGTTTTCCTTAATTGAACACTGGGTAGTGTACATTTGTTTAATGATTATTGTCTTAATTGTTTTCTAGTATTCCTTAACTTACTTTCCAATAATGACTTACTTGGATCCTATTTTATTTGGTATTTTATCTATGAAAATCTGCTTCCTATAAAGCTGTGCTTTTGTAACAACTGAAGGTAATTAATTTAAGGTATTGCAAAGAGCTTCAATTGTAGATTTATTAAGACATGGATCAATATGAGCTAGAGCAGCTTCAGTTCCAATCCAAAAAAGAGAAAATTCTTTATTTTCCCTATTAGGAAACCTTAAGTAGTTCTGCTAATGCCATCTGATCTACCTTTTCTGCACTGTTTTCTTCTAACATGGTTAATTTCCTTCCTAAGTCTCTCTGTATTATGGGAGAACCCAATCTATGCTTTATTGTATCTTACATATGCTCACTTGTCTAAGATACTTAACATGTTGGTAATATTCTAACAGAGGCAAGTCTTTTGATGGATTTTCTTTTCTGGGGGCAGGGGTAACTTTGAGGCTGCATTAATGTTTCCTATTTGGCTTTTTTTACCAGGATAGGTTTGGGAAAATTTAGCAATTTTATGGTTTAGAGATAGATAAAGGGTTTATGGCTAATGAATGAAATATGGGTTTTATTGATTGAAATTTTATGGCAAAAGAATGGCTGGAAGTTGCTGTTAATGTCTGTCAGCAGCAGAGCTTAGAAATTTTCTGGTGATTTGAAGGAAGGGTGGTGGGATGGCACTCAGTTGTTTTAGGGACTTATTGATCGGTGGAATAATATTCATTGTTTTTAGAAGTGGAAAGGTCAAATTTGCTGCAAACCTAAAAGAAAAGGATAGAGGGAGAAAATAGAGTGGAAAAGAACACTGGCATTTATGCCCTAGTAGGCAAAGAAATTTCTAAACTTGATGTAAAAGTTAATAATCTATGCAGAGCATTGTGAATAGTTTGACTCTTAACTATTGGAAGGTGGCCTAATGAACGCATAAAAGACTACTTGAATCAGAGTAGTACGCAGTTGGAATTCTAGATCTCCTTAAAACTTTAGACTTCACTAAGATTATTGAAATGGTAAGTTATCTTTGACTGTTAAAAGTTTAATTCAATTAAGTTTATATATGTAACTAGACACATAGCATACTGTGCCTTAGTTGTGCCCATTAATGAAGGCAGAGCTGAAATATTTTGGTTGCACCTTTAGGACTGTTCTATATAACCTTTTAAACTTATGCTGTGTAGCTTCAATTTTACATTTTGTGTTTGTGTTTTGTAGAAATAGGCCCTTCAATGTTTCTCAGCATTGAGTTGTATTTCTAGCTACTTTTGGACATACGTTGACATGGGCATGAAGTACTATTGGCTAATTGTTAAATAGACTGTTTTGTCAAACAATCTATTTATCAATGTCTGACTTGAAGGGACTTTGCATGAATTAGTTGTATCTTCTAGGACTTTACCTCAACTAATTTTGGAGCATTCTATTTCTAGAAATGAAAAACATTTGTTGTTTGGAGGCATTTTACTTAGGTCTACTTGTATGTTTAGTATTATTTCCTCTGTTCCTTGCAATGATCTCCATTGTCCTGTATATGAATATAATGAAATATAAGCAATTTGAAATTCAATGAATTAATAAGAATGCCAATCATCATGATTTCCTGATTGCATGTTAGTATGTTTCAGGTTTCATCCTTCCTGCATGGGTATGACCATTGAAGAAGCGAAAAAATTGGAGCAGTTTTTATGTTCTGATTGTTCGTCAGAGGATGATGCCAAAAGATCTTTGAATGCATTCCCAGTGTCGCCGTCCCTTGAGGCAAAGGTTAGAGCATTTATGTTCACAGTTTGAATTTGTGCAAGAACTTTATGTCTTGTTTCTTGTGCCTTGGTTACTCCATTTACTTATTGGTGGATTTAGTTATACTTTGTGTTAGACCAGCTTTTACAATCTTTTGATGATGATCTTCCAATGGAGCTTTTAGTTCCAAGCTTTGCCTCACCAAGCTGCAACCAATAATTTCCTGTTTGCAGTTTCCCCTTGGGGATGGTTGCCTGTCCTTTCCTTTTCCCTTTTCCCCTCTTACATAAGAATCTCAGTTTTTCCATTTTTAATTATGCTTCCTTCTCCTTATGTTCCAACTAAAGATAGCATCTCTTTCCATAAACTCTTTGTCTCCTTTCTAGCACCCCTCCCCCTGGTTTTTTTTTCCCTCTCCACTGGATTAGAATAAGCTTACTCAACTGATCAAAGACAGTTTTCTGCAGCTAAGAAGCTTGGATAAGGATTCATGATGCAGACCCCAGGGATACATTCATTTTCAAAATATCGGGATGGATATACCTAACAATGAAATTTAAATTTTATATATATATTAGAAAATATTAATCACAATTGAAATATACATATTGGCAGTATTAATCACTGTAAACTACTTTAATATATTTGATAAAAGATCTATTTCCACAATGTGGCTATTCTATTTATAATAGAATAGAGAATATGGAAGAGACTAAAACAGCCCTAAACCCACAGTATATATCAGTCTTTAACACTCCCCCTCAAGCTGGAGCGTAGATATTGATCATGCCCATCTTGTTACAAAAATAATCAATTCTAACTGAAGAAAGATTCTTAGTAAACAAATTGCTAACTGCTCTCCCATTCTCACATAGGAAGTAGATATCAATTTCTATTGAATCTTTTCTCGTACAAAATGACGATCAACCTCAATGTGTTTTGTCCTTCCATGAAACATTGGATTAGAAGAAATATGCATAGCTGCCTGAATATCACTCCGCAATCTCATAGGAGATGAATTGGCAAAACCAATTTCCTCCAACAAATGATGAATCCACATAAGCTCACAAGTAGTTTGTGCCATAGCGTGGTACTCGGACTTTGCACTAGACCTTGCTACCACATTCTGCTTCTTACTTTTCCATGATACCAAATTTCCTGGCACAAACACACAATATCCTGTAGTAGATTTCCTATCATCTAGTGACCCAGCCCAATCGGCATCAGTAAAGCCATCAACTTGAGTATGTTGATGAACTCCATATACAACCCTTTTGCTTGGTGACCATATACTTCAGAATACGAACCAAAGCATCCCATTGAATGGTAGTAGGCGCAGACATGAATTGACTTACTACACTCACTGGAAAAGAAATATCTAGACGAGTTACTGTCAAATAATTTAATTTATCAACTGGCTCTCTATATTTTTCAATATCTGCAAATGCCTCCCCCTCTCCTGCTATAAGCTTCACACTTGAGTCCATAGGAGTCTCACAAGGCTTTGCTCCAAGCAATCCAACATCTTTTTGCAAATCTAACACATACTTCCTTTTGGAAAGAAATATACCCTCTTTGGAGCAAGTTACTTCAATCGCTTGAAAGTATTTTAAGGAACTTAAGTCTTTCGTTTGAAATTTTGCTTGACGCAATCAGTACCTGTAATCACAATATCATTAACATAAACAACCAGCAAAATACAACCATTGTTAGTTTGTCGAAAGAACACGTATGATCACATGACCTCTGCAGCAGTCCAAACTCCAATGCCACAATCACCAACATAATATATAAATCAACTTATAAGTAGCAACAAAGTATAAGTATGTAGAGCATCAAGACTGCAAAATATGTATAAAATCAAGTAAAATACTTATAATTAACATTTTTAACCCAAATAAAAAAAATAAAGGATTTTGATGGTCTTTTTCTTCGCTTCATGAAAATTTGTATTTACTTCTTGATAGGGGGTCACATTCAAAAAATAATGTGATATAAGTGAAAAAGTATTATATATGTGTCCCACACCCCCCCAACCCCCCCAACAAAAAAAGGAATACTGGTATATATGAAAGAAAATTTTGAAACTTACATGGAGTACCACCCCAAGTGTGGCACCACCTCTGAATAGATCAATCCCTTTCTCCCTTAAGAGTGAACCTCCCTTCTTCCAAAAGAGAGATACAGGCAGAGATAGAGGGTTGTTGTTTAGGGACAAAAGTAAATATGGTCTCTTATTGAATGGGATCAAATTCAATGTTGGAATTCTACTTGCAAGGAATTGGTCTGTTTATGTTGGTTACTCAAGTCAGTCAGCTAAACAGATATTATTTGGAACTTCTAACATTTATTTATATTTCTAGATGCATCCATTAGTGGTTTGTTCATGTTAGCTTGGTTATAATTTTAATATATATTCGCATAGTTGCTAAACCAGTAGACCGCACTAGGCAGGTGTCAGTATTTTACCCAAAATAATTTGTCAAAGGGCTGTCATTGTCAACCTAAACTACTTTTCCATATTAGAATGGGACTTGTGGTGCAAGGGCAAGGTATGTGATCTCTGGTATTTTACGTTCAATTGGAAAGTAGATACCAAACAGAGTGCATGTTGCTTGCTGAGCGAACTGTACTTACTTTTAGCTGGTGACTCCCTAGCTTCCGAGCTGCTGCTTTCTTTTGTGAATATGGGTGTGGCAGTAAAGAAAGATGTACTAGGAGAAGAATTCATTTTTGAGTATAATAAAATATTAAAAAGGATATATCAACTGCTTAGGGATACTAAACAGTCACCTTTAATGAGGATGAAGTTTAATACTGATGATGATATAGGTTAACATGCTGGCTGCAAACTTTGAAATACTTTAAACGTTGGCAAACTTGTGTTTTAGTATGTGTACATGCAGTCATGCTTACGCTTGTTGGTAGAGAAATTTTGAAGCTTTTTAAATGTTACTTTCAGATCATACTATTATTTGCAAGTGTAAAGCGCACACATCTTATGGAATATTGTTTTTCCTCTTTTTCAGTTATTTTACTGCTCATAGTTACATGTTTAGTGAAGGTTTTGAGCACTATTCCCTCTGTCACAGTCTATGGCACACTTTTCTTTTTTGGGATCCTGGTTTCTTTATATGTAGCTTATTCTTTTACATCAAACACTGCCAAACTGTAATGTTAGATAAAGATCCAAATTCATTTATGTATATATTTATATAAGTTTCTCTTAGAACTGTGTACCAGGTCAACCTCATCAGTCACAAGGAGACAAATATAATATAATTGAAGAGATGCTGATGCTGGTTTGGCAATTGTTCTAAGATAAAATATTACTTGAACTGGACAAGGCTTAGGTGCTAATTCGACGTCTATTTATAAGAAGAGCTTCCTTTCTGGACTTTAAAATAGATGTCTGCCAACCATCCAAAACTAGCATAATTGTGAGTTCGTTGCTTTTGACCTGTCCTTGTTGGTATAGATCTGGTAGTTGCTCCTTCAATGTGAACAGATCCCATGCTACTTTTGTGATGCCTGTACAGGGCATTTATGTAAATTGACTATATCAATATGGTTTTACATATAAAATGATGATGAAAAATAGTAGATTTATTTTTTAACCTCATTATTTTTTGGACATATTAACCTCATATTTAGGAAATAAAACTTTTTAGTACTTTCTACTTTGCTTGAAGGCATGAAGTATAACGAAATACAATTTTTTAATATATTTAATTATTACAAGAGATAGAATTACCTTGATACTTTGTTATCTGGAAGGGAGGTGGGATTTCATGATAATTAATTAGTTATGACTTTTTTTTTATTGATAAATAAAAGTTCCATACTTTTCAAAAAAAAGTTTTAAGTGTTTTCTATTGCTGCATCTAATGCTTTATTCAACAACAAACTATTCTTCTTTTTCCTTCATCCTCTTAGCAGTGTAATATGGCCTTGTATTTGATCTTATGTTTTATTCTTTTGGCTTAGGTGGAACCCAAGCGTAGGAAGAGATAACCGTTTTCACAACGCAGAATGAGGAGGTACTGATTTTCTTGCACATTAGCTCAAGTATTGTCGTTCTTGTTTGTGTTGTGGAATTGTACAGTGCAGAGAAGATACTAAGTTTGCACAAACCAGAGAGGCTTCTTTCATGATTTGCCATGTTCTCATGTTTGTATGTGTGGTCAGACTTAGGAGATGATTTTTTGTGGTCAACAATGTGCCTGTGCGTGCACAATCTCTGCAAAATGTCATCTTAATATAAGCTGTGAACCATAACAATGACGCAAACTTAAAAATTGGGAAACTTTTGGTTCTTTTGATAGGTCACAGTTTCTTTAGTTGCTTATGATTGTTCCATTTTCTTTCACTACCTTTTGGGGCTTGAGAATGCTAGGCTGTTGCTTGAGATTTATGGCCATCTGCTTCCAGAATATCATGGCACGCACTGATGAGAGCTGACATTTAACTAGAGAAAATGATCCAGAGACACAGGATCACTTTCTACTTTCTTTCTTTTTTTTGCCCCATGTTTGTTGAATTCAGAAGGTTAAGATTACCATGCTTCCTTCAACCCTCTTCTGATACTTGTGCAAAAAGGCCCATTTTAGTTTTCCCGCATGAAGTCAGTGCAAAAGTGGGTTTCTCATATTAAAAGTTCCATGAGGTTATTGAAGTCTCGAGGTAGTATCTGATTCCATTGCGGGGATGCCTCATTCCCCATGGACCTGAATCTGATAATTGATATATCAGATGGCAAATTGTGCTTTCAGAGCTGTATTTTCAACAGATGATATTGGTAATTGATGCCATGCGTCAGGACAGGGCTAGCCCAAGAGAAGTAGCCCTTTCTTTCCATGTCTCACTCTAATGGTATTTTGGGGTTTTGTCCTTTTCTAAGGTTAATTCCAGCTCCTTATTATACATTTTATTAGGACCTTTGCAAACGGACCTTCCAACTTTTTAATCTTGTGACTTTCTGAAAAGAACAAATTTTCTCAAATGGGGGAAGTGGAGGAAGTGTTACTTATATATGAAGAGTTTTTATTTTTCAGAATTGGATAGTTCTTTGCCATGCAAGTTATCTCTCTATTTAAAAAGTAAAGTTTAAATTTTTTTTTCTCAATTGTAAAAAAAAAATAAAATTTAATGACAACATCAACCCTTTCACTTTCTTATCCCTGCCGCCTACTTGCCCAGCTGCCACTCCTGTGCCGCTAGATTGCCTGTATAGCCTATTGAACAATAAAGGAGAGACATGAATATCGTTTTTAGATGAGATGAGCGTACGAGATATATAGCATAATTTTTATAAATTAATATTTGATAAAGTATTAATTCTAATTAAATAATATTTTAAATCAATCTTGACATGGGTTAATGAGGTAAATTAATAATTTATTAAATTTATAAATTGATATATTATTAAAAATCTATAATTTTACTTAATATATAAATTAATAATTTTTTATACATTAAAATTATATATATACACATGACTCAATTAAATTTTTTTTTAAATATGATTTGAACGTTATTTGTTTTTTTTTAATTATTATCTCTTTGGATCTTATTTTTAATTTTTTTAATACATTAATAAATTTTGGTATAGTGTTTTCGTATTGCAGAAAAAAATTATGCATAATTCATGAATATTAAGTTTAATGTTTTAAAAAATATATATTTTGATAAAATAATAAAATTTTAATTTATAGTATAAATAATGTTTCGATTATTTGAGATTTTTGAAGTCAAATCATGTGAAGAAATCAGGAAACTGAATTCTCAGTCACCAGTGGAGAACTGGGAAAAGAATAAAACTTTGAAAATGATTGTGCGTATGGAATAGTTGGTGCTTCAGCTTATGTAGCGTCATGGTGATTTATTTTATTACTGTTTCAGTTAGCATCCGCTCGAGTTGGAATATGCTGCCCCTTTCATTGGTGACTGGTGAACATTGAGAGCAGGGAGAGAACAAGAAGACCAAAGAAGAATGAAGGAAAGATGTCACGTGGCAAGTTTTCGTCACACGAATCAGGACATGATAATGATGTGTTGGAAAGTATCTACCTTTAAGAAATAAAGATTATAATTGGGTCCGTTCGGAGAAACAAACTCCATAGCTGATATCCGTCCAGCCTTAAATGTGAGTTGTAAGCTCCGCTTGGTTGACTGAATCGTAGGTTCCTTGTTTCTGTGTGCATTTTGTAAAGTTCATGAAATAAATAGAAATCAAATAAAATATTTATTTTATAAAAATAAAATAAAATAATTATTACTTAAATTGGTATGATAAATAAAGTAAGATAAAAATAGTTGTTATGATTTATTATAATGTTTGATTAGTAAAAATAATTTTAAAATAAAAAAGAATAGTACATAAAAAGATAAAATATCTTTTATATATTATTTTACTTATTTTTAAATATTTATATTTTATTTATAATTTAATTACTAATATTATAAAATAGGAATATTTTATTTGTAATTTAAATGGTATTATGATTATTTATTTTTATTTTATTTTATTTTAAATATTAATAATTTACAATTTATTTAAAATATGAATAATTTATAGTTTAAATATTAATATTTTTTATAATTTAATCATTAATATGTTCAAATATTAATATTTTATTCATAATTTCAAAGTTATTATGATTATTTATTTTTATTTTATTTTTTAAATATTAACAATTTATAATTTATTTAAAATATTACTAATTAATAATTTAATTATTAATATTTTTTTATAATTTAATCATCAATGTTATAGAATAATAATATTTTATTTACAATTTAAATGTTATTATGATTATTTATTTTTATTTTTAAATATTAATATTTTATAATTTATGTGTAATATTAATAATTTATTATTTAAATATTATACTTTTGTTTATAATTTTATTTTTATTTTTAAAATATTAATATTTTATTTATAATTTAAATGTTATTATGATTACTTATTTTTATTTTATTGTTCAAATTTGAATAATTTCTTTAAAATATTAATAATAGATCATTAAATATTAATACTTTATTCATAATTTAATCATTTTATGAAATATTAATATTTTATCTATAATTTAACTCTTATTATGATTATTTATTTATATTTTTTTAAATAGTAATAATTTATAATTTATTTAAAATATTAATAAGTAATAATTTATATATTAATAATTTAAAATATTAATATTTTATTTATAATTTAAATAATATTATGATTATTTATTTTTATTTTATTTCATTTTAAGTATTAACAATTTATAATTATTAAAAATATTAATATGAGTAGGATTGTAAATTTCTAAACTTATGAGGGGTAATTTAGTCTTAACAATTTTTGAAGCTATTTCATGAAATATAAAATAGCTAATGGAAAAAGAGAAGGTGGGTTTAATTAAACTTTACTTTTAACTGATTTTAAAAAATAACTATTCTTAAAAAATAGCTATTTCTTAATACAATTACCAACCAAATATAAAAGATAATATTACATGGAGAATAGAGAGGGAATAACTTAACTAATATCCTACCAAACATGCAGGGACTGTGTAAATGGGTTTCAGACTACAAACAAAGGGTTATCTTTAGATTCTTTTGTTTATTTTTAGAGGGGGATTGGGATGGTGCGCGGGGCTCAGGGGTGCCGCGCCAGTGCGTAAGTAGGAGTATGACATCGTACGAAATGGACCATAAATTTGAGTGGAGCGTGGAGAGTGGCGTTGTGGCGGTGGTTCTTTACCCGTGACTTGTGTCTCACGTTCGTTCACAGTCACAGGAAAACAGACCTCTGTGGAGGACTGAAAGTCTCCGTTCTGCATCGCATCCGCGTGCACGTGCACCGCCTCTTAATTTCCTGACTGTGATGTCACTGACATCATGCACTCTTCTTGTGCCCTTTGCTGGCTGCTTTCCAACCGTACGTTGCCACAACTTTTGACGCGTCGGAATGTAAGAGTTTCATGTGTGGTCTTGAAATCTTTTCTCAAAGTTCAAATCTATTTCAGTTTTTTTTGAGTTAATTTCCTTCCCTCCGCATGCCTGCCCGTTTCCATCCGCTCCATTGGTGGTCCAACCCTTTCTGTACGGCATGCCGTGCATGAGTTTTTCACGTGAATGAACGTTGGCCTAACTTGACCGGACCACCGACTGATGAATCAGAATCGGTGGTCCGTCTGATCTAATAAGAGGGTTAAATTGTTGGGAGTTCCGACTGGTCCATTTTCGTAATATTACATGCTGTCGGATAAGGGGAATTTTGGTTGTTTTCCTGTTCCTATGCAATTTGATGTGATGCTCGTTGCTTTCTTTTTCGTTTTTGTTAGTAGGTATACTAAGTAATTATATAGGCAGGAGATACTGTGAAAATAATCATCAAATATTTATATATCACCACAATCATTCCTGTGTACAAATGAATTGTTGGCTATTGGTGTAATTAGAGGTATCATAGTTGGGCCAGGGTTTAATACATTAATTAAATTAAATGACACAATGTTGAAGGGTGGATTCAACCTTAATTTTGATGAATCATGAATTGATTCTCCTATTTTACCAACTCCATTTATTAAAGCACTGTGCTCCAACAGTTACCCCAAGATGGTAAGAGAATAGATTCATGTTATTGCCCTTGTTGCAATTATACATAGGTCGGGCTACTCATAAAGCCAACGTGCTTGACCCGACTTGATTCGGGCTTAGATAGTAACATATTATACTGATAATATATTTAACTTAAATGGATAGATGGAACTAAACCGAATATAACATCGGACGTAAATTTTTAAGGTGCCAACTAGATTCGATCCAACCCACAAATATTTTAGTTGCGATAGATATATTAATTTATTTATTTTTCTATTTCTTTCCTATATTTCTTTTTCCTTTCTTTTTTCGATTCTCCTTTGACAACGTGTGCTCATTGGATTCAACCCATGCTTACAAACGCCGATCCGATCAGATGCGGGGTGGTCAGATTTAGCCTCAAAGCATCGGATGGTTGTATAGTCAGGCTCAGATTGGCCATTATTTATTTATTAGTAAACATATATAAGCACACTTTATTTCTTAATCCAGCCCAATCTCATCCAATACAAAGTAGTTGATTATTATTCTACACTACAGTATATCCTGAAAATGGATATGGCTGAACTTAGCTATAAAGGCTTATAAATTAGAAAGGTCCTCAAAATATCAGGTCCATGCAAATATTTTAAATGAGATTCTGAATTCCTTGAGTTCGATGAAAAAATTTAAGTCTCCCACCCATGTAAAGTAACAAAGAACAAAGATAATTTCATCTTTATTATCAACTCA